GCCCGCGCCGCCCGTCAAGAAGCAGGAGGAGATCCAGCTCGACGAGATCCGCGATCGGGGCATCGCGAACCAGGAGAAGGTCTTCAGAGTCGCGGCGACGGTGGCCTACTGCCTCCTGTTCCTCTCGCTGGTCCTCATCGGCTCGGGCATCCCCTACGCCGTCGTCGGCTCGCAGATGGGCACGGCGTTCCGCTACCTGGGCAAGTCGTGCAACGTGACGGACCTCGACTACCGGGGCTCGGAGCTGTCGCTCTTCGACTCGTCGGAGCGCTACGACACGTGGAAGTACACGGTCGCCACGCGAAGCCTCGACGACGTCCCGACGACCTACGCGAGCGAGGTCATCCGCGTGGAGCGGCCGGGCGGCGACCGCCACTCGAAGATCCGCGCGGGCGACGTGCGCAAGTGCTGGGCGCCCCGGGGCGGCGACCGGCGCAACGACCTGCCGGGCATCCTGTGGCACGGCTTCAACTGCGGCAACAAATACTGCCTGAAGCTCGAGCAGCCCGCGAGGGAGGCCGCGTACGTCCGCGACCTCGGCATCTACTTCGTCTGCTTCGGCGTCATCGGCGTCGTCCTCGGGTGCATGTTCGACGGCGTCGCGGCGGAGGCGCTCCAGGCCAAGGACGCGCTCTCGAACGCGACGTCGAAGAACCAGGTCCGCTGGCTCCGCCCGTCCGTGGCGTTCCGCAAGTCGTCCATATCGCACCGCCAGGCGTGGCAGAAACACTAGTCTTGTGGATTGTAATTCGACCTTTCCTGTGGCTACGAACGGCGAGGCGGACTCGGCGCGCGCGGCCCTAGTAGTCGCCGAAGCCGAAGCCGCCGCCGAAGCACATGCCGCCGAAGCCGCCGTGGCCGCCGGCGACCTCGACGCGGAACTTGAGTGTGAGCGTCGACGTGCCCGTGGAGAACTTGCCCTCCGCGGACCGGAGGCTCACGTCCTGCGAGCCCGTCTTGTAGGACTTCTGGAACGAGCCCGGCCGCGTGCGGCTCCAGCAGACGACCGACGCCTTGAAGCCGCCGAAGGCCGCCTCGAGGCTCGCGCCCTCGAGGACGAAGGACGTCGCGACGCCCTTCTTGGTCATCGCGACGCCCGGGAACAGCGCGTCGAACTCGGCCTTGTCCATGACGGCGGTGCCGTTGAGCGTCTCGACGTCGCCCGCCTACCGAGAACGGCTCCCGGGGCGAAAAAATCAGACACCGGTCCGTGCGTGCCACTTGGCGCCCTTCTTGCCCTTGATGTTCGCCTTGAGGCTCGTCACTACGCTCTTGAGCAGCGCGGTGCGCTTGCCCTTGCCGAGAGTCGCCGCGGCGCCGGCCGGCGCCGCCTGCGCCTGGCGCTTGGGCGCCGGCTCGGCGCCGGAGGCGGCGCCGCGCTTCTTGCCGCCGCCGGCGCTCACGTTCGCGAGGTACCTGCGGACGCGACGGATCTGCGCGCGCGACGTCGGACGCATGCAAACGCACCAGGCGACGAAGGCCTCCTCGGTGACGGGCTTGGCGAAGGCGTTCCAGGCCGCGCGCGCGGCGGAGTCGTCCACGCCTTTCGACGGCGCGAGCGGCTGCGGCGCGGTCTTGGTCACGAAGCTGTCCATGCTGCGATTGCGGTGCGACGACGAGCTGCAAGGTTTTGAAGGTTCGCGTTCGAATGAGCAACGAGCTCGGCCAGAAATCGGGGCAGCCTTGCCGAGTCGTTGCCCTTCAATAATGCCTCACCTGGAAGGGAGCTATTTAATGTTCCCGCGTATCCGTGTCATTCGGTGTCATTCACTCTCAGCCACACGATGGCTGGCAGGAGAGTGAAGACTACCACGTTTTAGGGCCGCGTAAACTCTGCCCAAGTGCCGTCTGGATTGCGTTGGACCTTGGCCTCATGAGCAAGCTCCTGCCACCTGCGCTGTCGGCTGCGCGACGAGCCAGTGTGCGGCGCGTTGCAGCCGTTTCTTGTCTCAACGCGCCTACGAAGGTGTGGCGTCACTGCCCTGCGCCAGCGCCGGCAGCGCGGGCGTCTGCGAGGCTGCTACGGGCTCCGGAGCGCGCCGCCGTCGGGGCAGCCCCTCCGCCTCCGCGCCGTCGTGAGGATCTCATCGACGGCGGCAGCGGCGCGGCGCCGCTCGCCCGCGGCGGCGGCGCGCGCGCGCCAGGCGGCGACCGCGCGCTGCGCGCCGCGCCGCGCGTCGAGCGCCGCGGCCGCGGCCGCGGCCGCGGGGCGCGGCCGCGCGGCCGCCGCGGCGAGTGCCGCGAGCGCGCCGCGGAGCGCGCGAGACCGCTGGACGCGGACCACGTGGCGCGCCGCTGTCCGCCGGAGCGCGCGGCGCGGGG